AGAGACTCTTCTGGTTGATGGAATGTCTCAAAACCAATGTTAGTTTCTCTCAAAATCAATGGTAACAGATACACTCCAATACATTTATATATACATATAAAAATATATACATAAAAATGATAGGTAAGAGATAATAGATAAAAGAGTAAGAGTGTAAGAATGTAAGAGACTTTAATGCGTGGATCAGAGACTGGAAAGTTCACCTAATGTTATATCTTCTATCCTATTCTTTTATACAGTTTACACTTAAGATATTGTTAGTAAGTATCTTTCAGTTAAGTGCCTGGGTTATATCTTGGTGTCTTGGTGTTTTGGTGTCTTGCTGTTTTGGACCTATGTCCCTTTCCAAAGATATCGGTTATATTATTCTTATTATTTTTTTTTCGCTGGTTTTTGCCGGTACCTGCTGTAAATATATATGTACATACTTAACATTTTTTCGCGCTTACTGTACTACTATAACAATAATAATGACAGAATTAAAAAAAAAAAAAAACATATTCTTCTTAAATTTTATCAGCATTAACCATCACTTTTATATAAATTAAGAGCTGTATTTTATTGAATTAAATGATATTTAAATTAGCAGACATCTGATAATTTTTCTAACAAATTAATTATTAGAAAAAAAAATTTTTCTCACTTATCATTTTTATAAATTTCTAAATATGGAATTTTTTTGCTAAATTTATTTGTTATAAAAATCTAAAAATTGTTGATTTCAGTATCATTAAATTAAAATTTGTCATTAAAAAAATATTATAAAAAATTCACTTATTAAATAATAACAGTAGTATTAATCTAATACAATATATTTTTATATAATAAGTAATAAAGATGTTACGAAATTAATTACAACTGATATTATAATATAAATTATTATCATTATTATTAAATCGGTTTAAATGTAACTTGAATTGTATCAACGACCTTAATCACAGTTCAAGGTGTAAAAGATATTAAATGTACTCTAGATATAAGTATAAGTTACAATTTGTAGTATTAGAGTAATAAACCTAAGTAATTTTTTTTTATTTAAACAAATTATAAATTTAAAATTAAAAATTAAACTTATGATAATCAGTGCACGGAATTTTCCAATGCAGTAACAAAATAATAATTATAATATCATAATATAATATAATATAATAGATGTCAGGGTTAAATCTCGCGAGTTGCAAGTTACAATACGAGTCAAGTCCTCTCTCCTCAATTACAATTAGTCCCATAATACCAATCCTACATTACGTATTATTAAATGTACTTTACCTTCCGCTTTACTCAATACACACAAATATATCTTTTATAGTTGTACATATATTATAATAATAATACATGATATAATTTAATAATAGGTTGTTCATTTTATAATTTTGAGTTTTTTTTTATCAAACTCCAATATGAATATATAGAATAAAATATTCTTTTATATTCTTCTTCATAATTTATAATATTATTATTATTATTATTATATTAAATATGATATTATAATTACAACTAATTGTATAAAATTCTCCATTAAACATTAAATATTTATACTAGTACAATACAATAGTATTTATCGTCAAACGGAGAATAATAAAAAAAAACGAAGAAATATTAATTAAAATATATAAAAGCTTGATAAAATTAGCTTTAGTTTCAAGCTTAATACACTATTTGCATAAAACAAATTACGCTTAAATCTAAATTTTCATTTCCATCTCCAGCAGCAGCAGCAGCAGCAGCAGCAGCAGCAGCAGCAGCAATTTTAAATCTCCAGCAATCTTGAGAATGGGTAAAAGTTAAGCAAAGGTAAAGGAGAAACAGGTTCTCGTTCTCGTTTTCATTCTCAGCATGGTATTCACCGTGCTGCAAACCTTGGCTTACCCATCTAACACCATCCAGTACTCCACCAGCTCCACCATATACCTATTTCATGTTATATTATGTATAGCTTTGTCTGATCGGTCTCTTCGAGTCTGTTCAACTCATCCGGTATATACAATTTTCTTGGTGTGAGTACATATTAAGAATTCAGCTTTCTATACATATATTCAACTATTCAATCACATATTGGCAGTGGTTACTGCATTCTATTTATTTATCATTCCAAGATGATGATAATGATCTTGATGGTATAGTTGAACAAAGTAAATGCAGAAAATATAAAATCTTTTATAAAATTCAGTACTTGTGTGTACATACGTACTAAGTATGTAATATTAAGATGGCTGAAGATTTTGTTTTCATTGAAGAATTATTAAACAGTTGTACACCTGGATAATGTAAATTTAAAGATAAATATTAACAAATACATTTAGAAAAAAAATATCTATATAATAATATTCAAATTAAGAGACATCTGGTAATTTTTAGAATTTTTTTAATAAATAAATTATAAAGAAGAAAAATTTATTTAAAAAATTTCTTCTTTAGAAACTATAAAAAATTACAAAGGCAATTTTTTATAAATAATTTTCTAGTCTTAGTTTCTTATTAAAAAAAAATATTTCATTTGTAAAAAAACTTGGAAAACTTTAAGTGCAATTTAAAAAAAAAAAAAATTTTAATCTTAAAAAGCTCTAAAAAATTATAATTGCAATTTTTTAGACTTAATTTTATTTATAAAAAATTAAAAAATTGTCAAGTGTCTGCTAATTTCATTGTCATTGTGTGTATTGGTATTTTTTGAAGCATAATGTAGTACTTACATATTAATATAAAAGAAGAAATGGTAGATATAGTATGTAAGTATATGTGTACGTATATGGCGGGTGGTGGGGCCCACGCAACTTTACCAGCAAACTAATAGAAAGAGAGATACAATAATTCCAGGCACCAGCACATATGTACAGCATACAGCCAGTTGGTTCTCAGTCCAGTCACTCAGAGTCGCTTTTCGGGCCCTGAGTTGGCGCGACGCGCGTCTTTTATAACCGCTATTTCTTTTTTCTTTTTTTTTTCTGTTCTTCGTTGAGTCGAGTTGAGCCCTGAAGCCTGAGTCTGCCCAAGCCCCCAAGCATCGAGTGGTTTTTTCTTTTATTCAGTGCTTTTTTTTTTTTTTTTTAATTATTATTTAACAAAAATATATTCAACTAATTATTAATAATAATTAGAAGAAAAAAATAAAATAATTTTGTGATAATTAAAATTAGGTGAGGTGATTTTTTAAATTGTGATTGTTATTATTATTTTAAGAATTAAAGGTGTAAAGTGAATGTTTTATGTGATTGTTTTATACCTGATTCAAAATAACGGGGAAAAAAAAAGAAAAGAAAATTAAAATTGTTTATTTAATAATCGGAGCATTAAGCTCGTTAATGAGTAATTAAAAGTTGTTATATACACTATCAACATTATACAAGATACATACGCAATTGTTTATCTATTTAATACATATATTAAACACATCTGAGAGTAATAAAATGAGTCAAGTCTTTATAGTTAACAATCTAGCCTCGAGCTAGAACTATTACATCAAGCAGTTTCTGTTGTAAAGTTTTCATACACCATAATTTAAAAAGCTAGATAAAATAGTTTTTTACACGCGGTATTATTATTTTTAATATGATAATAATATTTTAAATAAACAAAAAAGGCACTCAAGTAAACCGAGTTTTACTTTCACAGCCTTTCATTATTATTTATGAAAATTGAGATAATAATAAAGTTAGCCGAAATTTTTTATTTTGCTTAATTTATTAAATTAGAGCTTTAAAAGATTTTTTTTTTTAATTGCACTTACCAGTTTTTTAAACTAATGAAATTAAAAAAAAATTTTTTTCGTAATAATTTTTTTTTTATTGAAAAAATTATAAAAAAATTTTCATTTGTAAAAAACTTGAAAAACTGTAAGTGTAATTTTTTAGTTCTAATTTAATTATTGAAAAAAAATTTAAAACGTCGGTTAACTTTAATATTATTATTATTTAATTAAATATCTACACTTTATAAAATTGAATACTCATTATGATAAATAGTTTTAAATAAATTACTCAATTATCGCAATCATGTTTTAAAATATTTTTGTTATCAAACTTTTTAAAAATAATCTAAACTATACAGTAAAAGACTATAGTTTGATTAAAAATTTTTTGATAAAAATCAACGCGCTTAAATATTAATTTTTTTGTATATTAAAATTAATATTTTTTTAACTCGACTGCAATATTTAAATTGATCAAAACTCATAAGTAATTTAAATAATTTATAATGAATTATTATATGATGACGTTAAATTGAGTCAATTAGAAATTAATCAGTAATCTAATCGTTAAATTGTGACAATTTCTTTATTAGTCATTTCATTGTTAATAATTATTGCTTTTATATCCTATATCTAGTGTAATATAGTTAGTAAAATGAATTATGAGTGAGTGATTATTATTTAACTCATCCGGCATGAATTATAAAGCTGAGTGCACACTGCACCAATTTTAATTTTTAAATGAAATAATAGTTATAAATTATATTTTATTATTAAAAAAAAATAACATTAATGATGGTCTAAATAATTAAAATTTAATCGTTAAAAAGCAAGTAGACAGTAATGTATAAATAAAAAGAAATTTTTCTTAAGTTATAAATAAATTCTTTCGATAATTAAAACAAATCTAGCATTTAAGACATTTGTAATGAATTTTATTCGTTTAAATTGAGTCAAATGAACTCAAGGACGTCAGTAGTTAATATCAGTATTATTTGTAACTATTGTTTAAATTAGAATATTTAAAAATGAATTTTAATGATCAAATAATATTTCGTCAATGATAAATTTAGTTTACTTTATTATTGTTAAATTTTATTTAATGGAATAATATGGAGAATTTATCTGATAAATAATATTTAAGAAGAGTTTCTTAGTAAAAAAATTCAATTGACAACTGACCTCTTAGTTATATCACTCAATCAATTGGTTAATAACCCCCAATAAATTTGTACATACTATACTATTTCACAAAAACATATTTCTAACTTGTTTTTAAAAGCAAAATAAATTTTTATTTTATAGATAAAAAATGGCAGTTTTTGGTCTTTTGTCAGCGGTCGCTGGTTTTGTGAAAGTGAGGTTCCTAATTGACAAGGCCATAATTGATAATATGATATTCAGAGCTCATTATAGAATCACATCGGCAATTTTATTTGCTTGTTGCATCATGGTCACAGCCAATAATTTGATTGGTAAATATATATAAATAAAATATGATGAATTATCTTAATATTTAAATATTATATTTTATTTCAGGTGATCCTATCAACTGCATTGCTGATTCAGCAGTAACAGAGCATGTAATAAACACCTTTTGTTGGATAACGTACACATATACTCTTCCAGACAATGCATTAAAACCAGTTGGTACTCATGTAGCAGGGCCTGGGCTTGGAGCAGATATTGGAGAAAAAAAATATCATTCATATTATCAATGGGTTCCCTTTTTACTGTTCTTACAAGGAATACTCTTTTATTTGCCTCACTGGATGTGGAAGCAGTGGGAAGACGGCAAAATTAGAATGATTTCTGATGGCATGCGTGGTCCACTTATTGAAACTAAACAAGAACGTCAACAACGTACATCACGACTTATTCAGTACATTCTTGATACGTTACATTTACACAACAGTTATGCTGCTGGTTATTTCTTCTGTGAGGCGTTGAATTTTGTTAATGTTGTAAGTATTTTTAATTTTCAATTATTAATTAAAAAATATATTTTAGAGTGTGCTAAAATTCAACTTCCATGCATTGAGAAAAAAAAAATTTTGTCTAGAAAAAAATTTCTCGAGACAAGAATCGTTTAAAATAAATTTTGGTTTTTTGACAAAAAAATATCAATATCTATCTTGATAATAAAATATTAGCATTAATTTTTATAGATTAACAAACAGATAGATTCACTTGAATTAAAAAAAAATAATTCGATCAATTCTTGAGACAAGAAAATTTTCTCAAGAGTAGTACTTTTTTTTTCTCAGTGTAATGGACCTCTTAAAGTTAAAATTTTGAGTTCCGCTTTTAACAGGAATTGTGTTTGAGCATTTCCTGAAATATTTTGAACATAAGGGATTTATTTGATTTTCATAGAATTTTTTAACAAGGATTTTGTTTGGCCAAATTTTGAAATTTTAAAATTTCAGTAGAAATGCTTAAATAAAACTTCTGTTAAAAAATTCTATGAAAATAAAATAAAATCCCTTACCCTCAAAATGGTGACACGACAAAATCTCCCCTCTAAAATATAATTTTAAATTATAATATTATTATCCCTGTCAGTTGTGATGGTCTTTTTTGTATGAATATACACAAAAACCATGATAAAAGGGCACAACAAGATTTTGAAGCGTATTTTGTCGGGGAGATTTTGTCATGGAACCCCTCAAAATATCTCAGCAAACGCCTAAAAACAACTCTTGTTAAAAGCGGAACTCAAAATTCCAATTTTAAGAGCTCCCTCACGGAAGTGAAATTTTGGCACACCCTAATAATATTTATTATTAATCATTATCATTATCCAGGTTGGTAATATGTTCTTCATTGATACATTCCTGGGTGGTGCTTTTCTGACATATGGAACAGAAGTTGTAAAATTCAGCCAGATGAATCAAGACGAACGTAGTGATCCAATGGTTGAAATATTCCCACGCTTAACCAAGTGTACATTCCACAAATATGGTGCTTCCGGATCCATACAAAAGCTAGACGCTCTTTGTGTGCTTGCTTTAAATATCATTAATGAAAAAATATTCATATTTTTGTGGTTTTGGTTCATCATTCTGGCTATTATGTCCGGTGTTGCATTGCTATACAGTATGGCTGTTGTTTTATTACCCAGTACAAGGGAAACCATTCTTAAAAAACGATTCAAGTTCAGCACAGCATCCGGAGCTGGTAATCTTGTTCGTGAAACACAAGTAAGTGTATTTTTATTTTTATTCATAATAATAATAATTATTATTATCATTATTTTGATAAATTTTTTATTTTTAGGTTGGAGATTTCCTTTTACTTCATTTGTTAGGTCAAAATATGAACATGATGGTTTTTAATGAAGTACTGGATGAATTATGCCGTCGTCTTCATGTTGGTTCAAGCAGCGGTGCCTCACCGACTTCTGTACCGTCGGCACCTAGCACTTTAGAAATGTCACCAATTTATCCGAAAATGGAAAAGTTTCCAAAGGATACCGAGATTTAAATAACATAATTATTAGTTGCTATTTGTGATAATACACTGGTGCCTTAATTATTCGATTTAAATAATTGGTATAGTAATTTTTTTTTTTAAACAAAATAAATAACAATAAATTTTATTGTTCAAGGCACTTACTCGTTTTGAGCAATAATTTTTTTTCCGTGTTAAATGATCTAGGAAAAACTGTTAAACTTGAATAATTTTTATTTTATTTGAAATGTAAAAAAAAAGTGCAATTATTATGCATTATTCAGTTTGATTATATGTTATAAAATTTTACAATTAAAACTAAAGGTAAATTAGAAATTAAAATGTAATGATAAAAAAAATGTTTTGAATCAGTACAATGGTGTGTATGATTCAATCGATTCTTATTGCAAAAAGAATAACGAACAAAGATAACCTTTGATCAATATCAGTGACATATTGTCAGAAACAATAATTTAATTGACAAAAATGCATTTGCACTTTAGAATTATTACATATTAACTTTAAATTCATTTAGTAAATAATTAATATTGTTCTTATTAATTAATTGACGGAAATATATCATTTGTTCCTCATTTTTATATCAAATCGTTTAACTAAATATTATTATAATTATAATGTTTAGTTTTTTAATGGAAATATTCCGTCCAGGGCATATTGTATGTTATTGTGTTCAGTATATCATCGAATTTTTACTCATCAATTTTTATAAATTAATTTATGTAGAAATAGTTGCTCAAATTATTAAAATATTTAAGTGCCAAAATTATTTATCGATTATTGTAACAATTGATACAATAAAATCTATAAAATTTTATACTTATTTCTTCTTTGTACTTTTTCACAATTAGCTCTTTGATAAATGTCCTTGAGCATAGACAATTATTTTTTCAATCTAAATAAATATATGAATAAGCTTACTTTGTGTTATATATTATTTTATATATAATCAAGTAGACAATAAAAGGAATAAAAGGTTGTTTTTCTTTTTTAATTCATCAGAAAAAAATAAAATTAAAAATTAAACCATAAGTATTTACCATAAGATACATCAATAATTTTATTAAATTTTAAAATTGAGCCAGTGCCCTGGAACTATTTTTTTAACAGTTAAATATTTTTATGAATTGAAATTTAGTAAACTATTTATAAGTTTTAGTATATAGTTTACTTATTCATTTATTCACAAAGCTTATTTGTACTTGTATTAAATAATAAATAAAATAATAAGTAACCTCTCAGTATCGAATTGCTTTATAAGAGATAAGAAGTAGCTTTGTATTTTTATAATGAAAAAATATGTCATAGCATGTTCTTAAGTGATATATACTAATCATAATTATATGCTATAAGTTCATATATTTATGCGTATCAAAATATCTGTTATTTTTAAATAATAATGGGATGATTAATGTCAAATAAAAGATTTTTTTTTAATTGTATATGATTATTATTGATGATTTTTTTTTATTTTAATTTAATTATATATTTTATTATTATTATTTGTCGTCATTAAAGTCTGTATTAATAATGATGAATAATACGAATACGATTTCATCAGTTGAGCATTTGTAACAAAACATTAACAGTATTACTATAAAGCGCAAGTTGAATTATTTATTTTAAAATAATTTTATATTAATTAAATATCGTTAAAAATATGTTAAAAAAAATAGAATTTAAATTTATAACTAAGTATAATTTTTGGAAGAAAATAAACTACTTAGAAATTTGTAGAAAAAATTCCAAAACCATTATATATTTTGAAATACTTTACCCAATATATTTTGGTAACTTATTAAAATAAAAAATTCATAATTATAAACGGTAAAGACCCTGAGATTAAAATTAGTAATAATTTAACTGATCATGCTGCTAAACTTACCGGTTTCCCCAGTCGACTTTGTTGATGATTCTTAATTTCAATTCTCTCGTTTGATCTGTGGTCAACGTACCACCTAGAAGTTGTCTCCGCCATTCCAACAGCTCTCTCATTACTTTTCTCAGAGTATTGAACTTGTAAATTTCTCGTTCCTATAGAAAAATAAAATAAATAAATAAATAGAAAAAACTATTATACAATATTCATTATAGATAAAATTAATGTGTCATGATAAATATTAATTTAAAAATACTTAAAATGATGAAAGAACATTAAAAATAAATAATAAACATCAAAGTAGACAAAAAAGAGATAAGATATATGGGAGGTGGGAGTATGACTACATTGGTGATTCACGAGTAAGTCTGAGTGTACTTGTGTACTTGCTTGGCCCCAGAAGGCCATTCTTTAATATAACATCCGGAGATTGAACATAGAAGAGAAAATAACAATAAAAAGTTGGCAGATATTTACTTACCACATAAAGTCTTTTCCAGATTCCACCCCATTCTCGCAGAACTAGAGTAACTTCGCGGACAACAGGATCTTCTTCTGGTATCACTGACTCAAAAAGTCCTTCATTTTCGATTTTACACGGTTTGAGATGAATATAAGAACTCGGAAATATTCCTTTAACCGCTCGATTTTTGGTTGAAAAGCCTCGATACCATCCTGAAAATTAAAATAATAAATTAATTAATTAAAAATTAAAATTAAAAAAAAAAAAAAAAAAAAAGAATTACCTGCACACTCTTCTAAAATATGAAGCGTGTCTCCAATTTCCAGTGGTAATCCATATCGAGTATCTCCTCGCCAATTATAAACGGCTTAAATCATAAAAAATTTAATTATTAACAAACTAACTTATTGATTGATTGATTAATAATAAAATAAATTAATAGAGTAAAAAAGAGATTTATATATTTATAAATTCATATTATGAACTTTGGACGCCGGATGTCGGTTGACAATGTGTGTATGATACAGGCTTCCGGTTAAAGCTAGAAACATTACAAGAGAACGAGAGATGCATCTCAATGAGCCTCTACTCCCTCTTATTTCATTTATATTTATATTTATATTACATTATATTATATTATGCCTGATGTATTACAAAGTGTAGCTATACTGGATGATTATTCTTGGCTGTTGGTTTGTTGGTTGTCGCATCCTTCTTTTTACTCCTAAAAAGTCTCTATATATACTGCTGCTCTTGTGTGTAGCTTGCAGTCTCTTATACAGCTCTTTATTTGTATTTTACTTGCTGAATAGTCTATGGTATATGCAATCTTCATCACTAAGTACTCTTGTTATTACTATTAGTGTAAGTATATCTATATGCAGATATATACACCAACGCCTCGATGGTTCCTCTATTGAAGACGTCTGTCTGTATTCTCTGGACTTATTTTTCTTCTCTCGTCTGACATATGTTTTTCTTTTTTACAAATTTTTTTTCATCATTATTTTTGTTACATACATTAAATACATTAACCCATATTAATTTAATAACCAATTATATATTTTATAATATTTAAATAAAATTAATGGATATAGTATTAGTTTGGCAGTAATAGTAGTAATAAAAAATGGATAAAAATAAAAAGAAAAAAAAGATTTGAGGGTGATTCTCTAATACTACTACTACTACTACTACTACTATTGTCCTATTCTACATAATAATAACAACAACAATAATAATTTTATCTTTCTTTAACTCACTGGTTTCCCTTACCAGGTTTTCCCGGGGATTCGAATCAATAGCTCTCCCTTTTGGTATATAAAACATTATTTTCGAGGGACGCACGCGGGTACACAACTTCTTCATACTCTATATGTTGAGAATAGAAATAGCAAAAAAAAAATGGGGTAGTAATAATTTGTCATCAAGATTTTTAAATTTTTAACTAAAAATTATTTTTTGCCTACGGAATAAACCTTCTTTTTAACTTAATAATATTTTTAAAAAATTTTCAATATATTATTTATATTTAAATTAATTTAAAATCTTGTTATATTACAGAGAAAGTTTCAATTATTACTGTATAAAAATTTTAATATAACTTGTTTTATTCGTAACGATAATTACCTATAATGAAATATAAATAAGAGTTAATTTTTTTAATCTTAAAATGTCAAACAATATGTAATAATTTTCATTTTATTATTTAAAATATTTTGCAGTTAAAGCAAAAAAAAATTTCACGCATACTTTATTTTTATTATTAAATATTTCAACATTTTATTTAAGAAAAAAAAAATTAAAACCAAGTAATTTAAATATACAGTTGCGGTTTATATATTTATATACTCGATATTATACTTTAGTAAAGTACATATCTTAAAAAACAGTTATTATTTTTGTTTACCAACTTGCGTGGCACCCGGAACGTTTTTAGGTGTATAATAACGCGAAAGCAGTAATTTAACATTACAATTTCAAGTACAAACATCAAATTTACTCTGAAAAAGTAATATCAAATTAAAAAAAAAAAAAAGTTTTTTATCAATTCTTAAACAATATTATAATTTGGTAATTTAAAATAATTTTGAGAAACTAATATAAAATAAATAATACGTGAGAATATGTGACATGAAAGTTTCAATTACTAAATTACTTATAACATGTTAAGTACGAATTTATTCAAGCGTATAATACTCTATAAGTGGATCCTGTTTCACAAGTGCTATCCGATCCACCTGATCTATACAATTTTTTTTAAATAACTTACTCTACTATGCCCATTACCCTAAATACTACCATATGTAACAAAATTAATCATTTTCTATTTTATAAAATTCTTTAAAATAATATATATGTAAAAAATTAACATGTAATTATTTGTTGACTTGATCGGATTAAAAATCATAATCAGTCATCTGTATTAAATAAAAATAAATAAGATTTTTATTTAAAGCTAAATAAAATCTTTAAAGAAATCTCAAGGGGTTTTTATTTAGAACCAATTGATGATTGTTGAGTCTTTAAAAGACTGGCCCGGTACTTGTTGTTACATGCCATATCAAATACCCGTTCCTTCATTACATTTACTTTATGTAATTATTATTATTATTATTATTAATGGTATATGTAGATATGTTATATACATCATTGTTAGGTAGTATATACTCGAATACGATCAATGCATGAATGGACCAATACATGAGAGTAGCAAAATATACGCGCGCGCACACGTTGAAACCAGCGTGTTCACGTTTACGGAGCACGTTCCTTTTTGTCCATCCTGTCTAATTGGCATTTAAAATCATTGATCATTTTATATTATTCAAACACTACAGTTTGTATCTCATAATTAAATAAATCAAATAAATTAAATAAATCGAGATCTGAAAAAATAATTTAAAAAAATATTTCCTCAAGCACTCATATATATATCAACAATAAAAATAAAAAAAATAATTATAATACTAATAATGGTTGTATTGATTAATTTTTGACAGATGAGGGCCATGGTATATTACAAAAAATGAATAAAAATCTAGAAAGGTACTTTAAATATATTTAATTAATGATGATGATGATGTTAAAATCTTACCAACGCCGTATTTAGTTGTCTTAGTGGTGGTCCACATTTTATTATTATTGTTACTTTGTCTACATATTTAATTATTATTATTATTATATTCGTAAAATGTTTATCATCATGCTAAATATGAAAACAACACAAACATCAGAACTTAGAACACTGGGTGTGTTGCTGCACACCAAATACAAGTGCCACACGCGCAGCCACACAATTTTTGCTTAACTAAAACTAAATAGCGTTGCCGTGGTGCGACACCACACGACTAAAACAGCTATCACTTTTGATCACGTGGTCATTTACAAATTCAGAAACAATAATCAATTTTTATAATTTTAATAATTCAAGGCTCCTTTAAATTTATTAACTTCTTAATTATACATAAATATTATGATATTAAAGATAGCTGTCACTTGATCATTTTTTAATTTTTTTTTTTTTTAAATAAATTTGCTCCAAATAATTATTTTTAAAAATTTTTATTTGGCAATTTTTTTTGCTATAATTTATTTGTTAAAAAAATTCTTAAAATTAATTTTCATATAAATATTATTTTTTAGCGTATGAAAAAATTTTCAATTTTTTTTAAATACTTAATCAAAATATAAAAAAATATTAAAGATTAAAATGTTATCTATTGTCAATATAATTATACTTTGGATAATAAATGTTAGATATTTAAATTACTTTTATTAAATTTATTATTACTTTTAAAATAAATACAATTCTCGTACATATTTATACGATGTGACGTATTTAATTGTTTTGATATTTACAATCCTCAAATAATATTTAATAAATATGGTGCAATGACTGTTGGATCAAGTACTGTATCTAAATGTTTTCTTTATTAACAAAATTTTTATTTTATTTTTATGTTGTTTGGTTTACTAGATACAAGCAGATAAACTTGCTGATTGCTGCATCAAAAGCAGATGTAGATAATGAATTATTTAAAAGTTTATGGGCTTGCCAAAGTAAGCAGCTAAATGAGCTTCTCTTAAAGCTTCCGCACATGTCTGAAAAAAATAACAACAATAATAATGATGATAATAATAAAGTTATAGTAGTAATATACATACTGGATGCGCGTGGCATACTCGTGCAACATCTTCAGCACTAGCTCCGTATTCCATAGCAAGAACAGCTTCATTGATAAGCTCTCCAGCACCTGGACCAACCATATGTACTCCTAAAATTTTGTCTGTCTTCTGACAAGCTAATACTTTCACAAAACCATCAGTCTCAAGGTTTGTTTTAGCTCTTGAGTTTGCCATGAATGGGAATTTACCGATTTTAAAATCGATACCTTCTTTTTTCAAGTCTTCTTCAGTTTTTCCAACCCAAGCTACTTCCGGGTGTGTGTATACGACACTTGGAACGCAGTTGTAATCAATATGTACAGCGCCTAATATTAAAATATAAATATAATTAATAAAAATTATTTAAAAACAACATCGATAATTATTAATGAAAATTAATTTAGAAAATATGTAATAATTTTAAGAATTTTTTTAATAAATAAATTATGGCAGAAAAAAATTAAAAAATTGTTAAGTGACAGCTGAATTTAATGTCATTAATTATTATTAAAAAAATATATACCTCCAGCAATACCCTCAACAGTTATAATTCCTTCATCTTCAGCTTTATGCGCCAACATTGGTCCGTGGATACAATCACCAATAGCAAAAATACTTAAAAAAGGAAACACGTTAATTTAATTTTTAGTTACATTTTTAATATGAATATAATTAAGAATTAATTTCTGATGAACAAGAAATAAAAAGCAGTAAAACTTACTTAGGTACAACAGTCTGGAATCGATTATTTACAGGAATTCTACCTTTTTCATCTCTTTCGATACCCATATCTTCCAATCCCAAATTTTGGGTATAGGGCCTTCTACCAACACAAACTAAAAGTACATCACAACCCAATGTTTCTTTTTTACTGGGATCTTTAGCATCCTCAATTGAAACTTTTATTTCTGATCCAGTTTTTTCAGCCCCAGTAACTTTAGTACTGAGTTTAAAATTCAAACCTTGTTTGGTGAATATTTTTTGCATTGTTTTACTGACTTCTCCATCAATGCCAGCACCTCCGATCGTTGGCATAAATTCAACAGCTGTTACTTCAGATCCCAATCTATTAAATTAAATATCTAAGTATTTAAAATATTATTGAATAAGATTGTAAAAAAAAAAAAATTAATTACCTTTGCCAAACGGATCCTAACTCCAAACCAATGACACCAGCTCCAATTACAATCAATCTCTTGGGAACTGGATTTAAAGATAAAGCACCTGTTGATGATACTATTTGTTTTTCATCAATTTCTAGCCCACCAAATGGCGTTACCTCACTACCAGTAGCAATTAAAATATTTTTAGCATTTATTGTGGTAGCAACTGATCCATCTGGACCTAATGCAGACACCTGATTCTTTCCAGTTATTTTACCGTGGCCCTTTACCCATTCAACTTTATTTTTTTTAAACAAACCGGCGATACCACCCGTAAGAGCTTTAACAACATTATCTTTTTGTTCTAATAATTTATCTAGATTAAGTTTTACATCACCAACTGCAAAAAAAAAATTTTAATTAAAATTAAAAATAAATTTCTATAGAATAATATTAATATTATTAATGATTTATTATTATTTACCAACAACTCCTCTATTAGCTAAGTCACCACTGTGAGCCATGTGATAATAATGAGAATTATTTAAAAGTGATTTTGATGGAATGCATCCTACATTAAGACAAGTACCACCAAGTGTTGGACTTTTTTCAACACATACAGTTTTCATTCCTAGCTGTGCTGCTTTGATAGCGGCAACATAACCACCTGGGCCAGCACCAATAACTACAATATCAGCATCTAGGGTACTTGCGTATCTTCTCTGCTGCAGAACTGATAGTGTGGGATTTATGACACGTTTAATGCTTCCAGGCTATAAAAATATGTAACAATTGAATTTATCTTTTTAAATGATAATAACAATTTGACTGTTATAAAAATAAAAATAAAAATAATTATAATAATGATAATTAAATTTGATAGCTGTTCTTGTAAATTAAAAAATATTCAGAAAAGGTTAACCTACACCCCATGCAAGTTAATTAAAAAAAATAAATAACAATAACGTACCTTAACTGTCGCCACTAAATTCCATAAATTAGCCTGCATTGTGTCTTTTTTAAATAATCTTTTGTTTTAAATGAATAAATTTATTTTACAGATGTTTCAACCAGATTATTAAAAAAAAAGTCAGGCAGTGAACATCAAAAATTACTAAAATTTTTTTCAGGCTATCGTTTCATAATCTTCTAGGTTTTAATTATCGAAATCTCGAAAATATACTATCGATATTGGTTTCCGTTTGAAATAAAGATGGCGCCAACCAATGTTGTGTGTTATCGATGCGCAATTCAGAACGCGTAAAAGTTGAATGACATATCAAAAATCAAAAAATAAATTATAAATACGTATCAATAATTTACGTAATAATTTAATAATTATTTAATGCTGACGTAATAATTTTAATAAGCTTTTTTTACATCATAATTTTTTTAAAAATATTATAATTAACTTTTTTTAAGTAAATTTATTTAAATAATTATTTTACTTGATAATATATTAAAAAAAAGTAATCATAATTGAAGTATTGAAATATTTACGTAGTTATGGGTCATTTTAAACAAATAAAAGAAAAAAAAATAAAGCGTAGGATAATATTGAGTAAGTGGGAGCAAAAACGCATGCAAGTAAAGTACGACAGGCGACAGATGTCCTTTCGATGACGCATCACAACATGGAGAATAAAGAAATTTCTCCCACTTGTTTAAAAATCACCCCAAACTCCCCAACGCGGAGATAGCAAAAATATTACAGGCTATTATATAGTGACGGTCGAAGTTTAGTTGCTGCTGCTGCTGCTGTTGTTGTTGTTGTTATTATTATTATTATTATTATACTGATCGTTTTTACAGTATGTAAGTACGTCACGCTCAGTCATACGTATACACTTATCTTGAGACAAGTAAAAAAAGACTACCTACAACTTGAATTCAAGATTAAATGTGTTTGTAATCCTGTCATTGATAATTATTTTTTTATTTTAAAATCTTAGTATTAAAAAATTGATTTACCAACTCTTAAAATTGTTCAAGAAGTTGTCAATTTTGTTTTTTAAGTATGAAAATATTTAATGTATATGTATTTATTTTATTTTAAGTATTTAATTATAATTATTCTAATTTTTTTAATTATAAAGGTTTAGTTTTTGTGAATTAAAAGATCGAAAGACTCTGGTACTCTGGACCCGTGGATACTTATGATCTCCGATCTGCTGGTCTATATTGTTGCGAGTATAAAAAAGTAAAAGTAAAATAAACAGACCAGAATATACTCATATATATTTATATAAATAATAAAAAATGTGCGAAATATCAAAAAGCCAGCGGAGGACATATCGTGATCAAGATCCACCACGGATTATTAAAGACAATGATAGTGAAACCAATAACGAAGAGAAAAATGATTTTTCACCGAGCTCAGAAAATATATCTACTGCAGTTTTCAGGAAGCATCAGCAACATCAGCAACATCAGCAACATCAGCAGCAGAGGTGGGAAGAGGCGTCGATCTCAGCCAAACTCGCTCCCAACCGAGTTGTAGATTCCACAGTCAGTTTGAAGCGAGACAACAACGCGAGTGTAAGTGTTGTTAATAACGTTGCTTCAGTAAAAGTGCCTTCCTTATCATTACTATCATCATCATCATCATCATCATCTTCGTCGTCTTCATCCTCATCTTCTCCACTATCACCGTTATCATCATTACCTATACCTCCACCACTACCGAGTGTTGCTGGAGCTACAGCTACAACATCCGGGATAACTTTTAAAGAGGTAATTTGTTGCTCTTTATTTTTTTTATTATTAATATTTTTAATTTTTAATTTATTGACTGGCCAGTCTAATACAACAATTTTTTTCATAATATTGTTAGCCTGTACTTCCCTCTAGGTATAAACAATTTATTCTCAATTTGTTATTAAAGATAAATTTGACTGAAAAAATAATTATTATTAATAAAAGATACACATAAAAAAAAATTAATTTGAATCAAGACAAAAAATTCTTGAATTAAGTAAAATTTACTTGAATCCAAATAAATTTCTTCAAAATTATTTACTTGATTCAACTTAATTTTTTTTTGTATACTTATAATAATAATAATAATAATAATAATAATAACCATTTTCAAAGCACAATTACTGGCTAGACGTATGGTTATAATTGTTAGAGTTAAAGAAAGTACTAGAGAATATTTAAATCCTTTTATCTTTAATTTTTAAGGTTCATTGAGCCTTTTCATCACAAATACAACAGAAATTATATAAGTTTAACCCTTTGTTGTTATATAGATATTATTTTTAAAGAACTAAGGGAGTAACCAGTTAAATTGACTATGAAATACACATATAGACAATGAGGTAACAATGAGAACGAAGGGTTGAGTGTGCTTACACGTATATTGGCCGGTCTATATAGTTTAGTTACATTTAAAAAGAAAAAAAATAAAAGCATGGCTATGTGGTAGGTCCACTACATGCGTTAGACTTGTATCTCAATGAATATATCTATTATATGACAAAAAGAGTGAATTAAATTTATGATGTATCTCGTTGGGTCAATCAATGAGAGATGACGCAGCTGCTATGGCTATATACTCTGCTATCTAAGTTTTTAATTTATTTTTTGACATTTCTTGGAGCTTTATGACTGTCATTAAGACCCGGATGCCATGGACAATGGATCATCGTTTTCTAAGAAAAAGAATGATCCACTGAATTTTTTTTTGTCTTTCATCTTTATCTTGCCCTGGGATAATATTTTTTTTTTTTTTTTTTGTATGCTGGCTCTCTTTTTCTTAATCTTTTTTCCACTGATGCACTCTAGTGTCTTGGTTTAAAATTCCAGGCCTCCAGGGCTCTTCTTGTCATTTGATCCTGTTGAGGATGAAGGTTCATCCCTCTTCTCTACTCTAATCAGAAGTTTTCATTTTTTTATATTTTTTTTTTTTAATAAATTTTTACTATTTATGAGTATATAATTTGATTTAAAATAAATGTTAAGATTATTTTATTTTATTACTTGTTAGTCACATAATTTAACGCTACTTATTATTATTTTTTTGTAGACAGTATTTTAAATTTAATAGTCGTGAAAGATGCTAATTCTAACGAGCAATTAAGAAAAAATAGCGAAAGTCATAATTAAAATGTACACTTCCGTATCATATTGTTAGTGCCACAGATGTGAAAAAAAATAATTATTAAAATTCATATATTTATAAAACTATCATCTTAATCAGAGAATTAATTGCTAAAAAAATTTTTTTTTTCTAATGTTATAAACTTCATTGTTTAAAATTCAATTAACATTAATTATAAAATTACATAAAATAATTTTCTATCATATAATATTTTATTGAGAAATATTACATACCTTGATAAGATTTTTTTTTAATAACATTTCACTCAACGGTTAATAATTATTACATTATCAGCAATAAATAATTAATTATCATATATTTCAACATTTGCGGATGTGAATAAATAAACAATTGTAAATTATATTTTTCTATTTATTAATCGTAATTCTTGAAATAAAAAAATTTCTCTTAAAAAAAAAAATAAATAAAAAACAGATAAATTTATCTCCATAATATTTCGCTAATTTTTACGAGACAATATTCCATGTCATTGAATTCAGAAAGTGTATTTATTTGTCTATTAATTATTTTTTTTTTTTTTTATTAGGTATTTTCTGACAATTTAGGATATGTCCAAGTTTATAAATATAAAATAACTTTTTTAAGAGTAAAATTAATAAAAAATTAAGAGATTTTTAGTAAGTAGTTCAATTTAAAAAAAAAAATATGTATTATTTTGACTGGTAAATATTTTTTAAGATGTTCTTTATGATACTGAAATTTTTATAATAAATCAATTATTATAAAAAAAATATTTTTGAAAATTCCCCTTGTGGGATTTTTTTTATTGTAATTTAATTGTTAAAAAATTTATAAAATTGTTAGAGATCTGCTAAATTTAGTATCATTGTTCTTTAATTAGAAAATGAAAAATTTTGATTGCAAATTTTGAAATATCAATACTAATTTTTAGAGTAATTATTTTAGCATCCAATGACGAAATTTAATTATTTTTTTAAATACCTTCAAGTGCATAATTTTAATTTTATATTAATCTAACAAAATTATAATTTATTGCTTATTGTACAAGTATTAATAATAATTATCATTTATCATATTACTATTATTATTGCAACATAGTTTCATTACTATATAATAATGTTATTTGCTTAAATTATTGTTCTATTATTGAAATATAAATTAAAGAGTTATTGTGAAATAGAAAAAATTTTAATACATATTTTTTTTTCGGAAAATTATCCACGTAATACTAATTTAGAAAATTAAATCATTAATAAATGATAAATGTATATAATAATAATAATAATAATATAATATATAGTACATTGTAGTACGTGCTTTTGATTGAGTCAGATTGTCAGATTATTATGATTACAAGTGAAAGTCCTCGTGGTTATTCTTGCTACATTCAGTAACTGACATGCTCTTGAGCTGAGAGCTTCAACACACTGCAAGCGAACTTGTACATACTAAATGAAATATATTTATTTAATAGTTTGTCGATAAAACGATTTTATTTTTTGATACACGCAATTGTTGAAATATTTTTTTATAAATTTAAATGACATATTGTCGATATATTTTGAGTGGATAAGTCAGTAGCTCTTCATGACTATATACGTGTACTAGGAATAATAAAATGAAAAACATCTGTTGGTTAAATTACTGGTAATTTTTTCTTCTTTTATTAATTTTATGATACTATATTTCATAAAATATTAGTGATAAAAAATCTTAAAAGTACCAAAAATTTTATATATATATTATTTACTTTAAAAAATCTTTTTTTTTTAATAATAATAATTAACATAAATATTAATTCTCTTTTCGTCATTTTTAAAATCTATAAAATTAAAATACAGTTAAATTATGTCCACTAATAAAATAAGAATAATAATAAAATAATAACATTTTTATTACCATAAATATAACTTACTTTTATAATATAAATTTATTTTATTTTTATTTTGCATGTGTCTAAAAATAAAAAATAATTTATAATTTAATTTATAACCTTTACTTACAGAGTGCATAAAGATAAAGAAAATTATTACATTAATTATCAATTCATATAAATAAAGATTAAGATCTGGTAGCACATATATGTATATCTACTAAGTAAATATAAATCTGAACTATCAGACATTTATTTTTTTTATATAAAATTGCTTGCTGTTGTTTGTGTAGTAGTGCAGTATTAACAGTTATAATTTCAAGTACGTACACACATATGAAGCGTACATAGCATAAATGAAATAAATCGACATAAAAATAAAAAAGTAACAAACAAATCTAATTCAGGGGCGGGGTACTCCGTTATATTACACATAATAGGTCACACACTACTCAAATGATGAGTAAGTCGTCTGGTTTCCTTATTATAATATACACAACATATTTTTTATAATGATGATACTGAAATTAGCAAGCATCCGACAATTTTTAAAAAAATTAATTCTGATTAAAAATAATTTTTAAAATTTACACTTAGAATTTTTATGTGGAATTTTATCCAAGATAATTTAATTGTTATAAAAATTTTTAAATGTCTCTTGACTTCAGTGTAATTTTTTATAATGACAATTTAACTATTTCAGTCACTAATTTATATTATTAATAAATATATATTGTAAATTAAAATTAAAAAAAATTATAAATTACAACATATAGTGATGTAATTGCATACTTTTAGAAAAGATAAAAATAACTTATTACATTGTGCAAAAATTACTTATTCAAATGAAATAATAGCACTGATAAGTTAAATTGTGTTACGCTTATAATTATTATTTATTATATACATACAATACTAATTTACTTCCTGGTGTTTTAATATATCAGTAATACGTTAAATTACTTAATACTTTTTAATTTGTGTATTGTATAAAATAAAATTAATTAAGTTACAGCATCAGTATATAAAATATTAATACTTTATTTGTTTTGTAGAAATAAAATTAAAAAAAAAAATTATGAATTATATATTCTAATAAATCTCAGTTATTTATTTAGTTTATTTGGAAAATTATTTATTTTTAGACAATATAATAGATAGACAAATTAATACGTATAATTTAAATAAAATAAAATGTTTAAAAATTTTATTTTAATAAGAAAGAAAAATAAAATAATTTTATTTAAATTTTAAAATTAAAAAATATAATTACTTATTTATAAATGTGAGTATATATTTAGGTATCAAATGTATTACTTATATGTTCTCACTATTAACTGATAAATGATGAATAATCATAATCATTGATTGTTTTATCTCTAATGTATAAGAAATATAAAAATTTAATAATTATGGGCTCTTAAAATATTTGAGTGACATTAAATACAACTCCCATCTGGTAGTAAAATTAATATTTATATACTGATGACTAAATAAATTTATTTATAAGATAATGATGATTTGTATAAAAAATTTACAATGTTTTTTTTTAAAGAAAAAAAATTTATCAGTATAAAAAATTATTAATTATATTTTTTTTTTCAAAATAACATTTATTGAAATAACAAATACTAGTAAAGAGCTGCAATGTTAAAAAAAAATGCACTCATACTCAACTTCCTTCCGGCAAATATATTATATACATATGTTTTAATTCAGATAAAAATAAGAGTTGAGTATTATAATCTACATGATAGTATTTCGTTGAAAAGTATAATTTATACTTTCGTTTCTTATTCCACTGAACGATCAGTTAAACGGACAACGCACCTTACACTCTCGTTCCTGTTTCCTATATCTAATCATATTTATACTCTAACTCAGAGTGATACTATATTTTATACTCTATAAATACAAATTTCGATTTTTATTACTATCTCAATCGCTTCAACCATAAAAAAAAAAAAATAATAACATACATATAAAAATAAATAAAACAAGATTATAAATTAAATATAAATATATTTTTTTTTTTAATTGTTAATTTATTTTATGAAAAAAAATTTTTAATTAAGTACTCTACACACTAACAATTTTTAATTATATTTTTATATTTTTTTATTTATTTATTTACTTATAAACCATTATCATTATTTATTTATTTAAATTTAAATGATTAAAATTTATTCTAATATTTTTTTTTTTTTTTAGATAATCAGAAACAACGACGGCCTTCAGAAAAATCCCGAAAGCTGTGAGTCTATAAATGGTAAGTTTTACTTTGTTATATTACTAAAATTAATTTCTTTTTAAAAATAAATGTAATTATTTATTTATATTGATATTTATTGAATTTGTCTGTTTACTTTCAATTAAATTGTAACTAGTATTGAAAAAAAAAAAAAAGTAATAATAAAAAAAGTAAAGTTTCACTTTTGTTTCATAAAAATAAATCATCTAAAACGTTGTCTAGAGTTTACGATTTTCTTACACAGAAACAACACCAATGTGATCAAATTATTAGTGTTTTTTTTTAACGATTTATCTTCTAACACTTTCATTTTATAAAAAACTTTGTTTTAAATGACTAAAGTACTTTTTTATACTCTTAAACAATAATAATAATTATAAATAGCTGTCGATTATTCTACGGTTCGTTTAAAAATAATGTCAGAATATATTTTAAATACTTTCTAAACTTAATAAAATTATTATTGTTATTTTTTTTAATCTATAAATACACGCAAAAAAAAATCTTTATATTTATAAATCTATAAGATCAATGTCAAATCATATCTCTTTGCAATTCATCACAATCATAATAAATTCAATTGATAATTATGAAAGCAATTATGTATCAATCGTTATCACTTGAATAAGGGATTTAATTATTTTATTTTCACAAAATAAATTATTGAACAAGCATCAAAGAATTCAAGCGAAAGCGTTGCATTAAATGACACACATTATTATTATTATTATTATTATTATTATTATTATTATTATTATTTACCTTGACATCGCGAGACTAATAAAATAAATAAGATAATAAATATATTTATTATTAATATCAATTTATTTCATTGATTTAAAAATAAATTCATGAGCAATAAATTTGATTAAATATTCAAGCTCTCAAAAATTCAATTTAAAAAAAAAAAAAGAGATTTTATTTTAAAAAATCTTAAAATTAAATTTTATTATAATTATTAAATAGTAAAAAATTAAAATTATAAATAATTAGTGTATAAATAGATGTAAATAATAAAAATAAAACTTCAAGTACAGCCTACGATGATTGATTAATCCTATCCTCCCACGGTTGTAGTTTGCCTTGACTGACCCACGTACATCATATCACTTATTTATCTTATTATATTAGCACATGAAGCCCTATATTAATAATATATATTAGCTATTTATTATAATCGGGGGCCGGCCGATATGCTGAGTAGTCAGTAGAGTATTTTATTTGTTCAGTAAACTTTTATATTATATAAATTTAAAATTTTCTAAAATAATGTCAGAAAATAATTCTGTTAAAGCGCGTATTGCGATTTTAGAATCTAAATTTGGTGATAAAAAATTTTGTAATTTTAGTGAAAACTTAGAACAAGGTCTTATTTTTTAATTAATATATTTTTTTATCTGGCCTTGTTAAAGTTAACTAAGTTCTTAGCTGGACTGAACTTGAATTACACCTTACATTTTTTTCTCAAAGATATTTAATTCTTTAAAGGGAATAATGCAAGGTAAAAGACTCAATTATTGACACTGGCCTAGTTATTTGACATTTGCAATTTTATTCTGATTAAAAAAATAAAATGTTCTTAAAAAAATAATTATTTTAAAAATTATATTTATTAATTTATTAAAGTTGCTTTCTTTTTTTTAAATTAAAATAAAATTGTAAGTGTCAATAACTCGGTCTTTTATCTTAGTCATTTTTAATTTTTCGTGCAAAATTTGCTAAGAGCTTAATAAACTTTAATAAGATATGAAAATTAAGTTAGCCGACATCTAAAAATTTTTAGAATTTTTTTTTATGAAAAAAAAAATTTCATCTGTAAAAAACTCGAAAAACTGAAAGTGCAATTTTTAAAAAATATTTTTTAGATCTAATTTAATAATTAAAAAAAAAAAATTAAAAACGTCGGCTAACTTTAGTGTTATTAATAAGATCACTGATTTAATTATTTAATAATTTAATTTTTTATTTAGGTAAAGAAATGTCTCCAGTGATGGGAGTACCTCCACCTCCACCTGCTCCTCACATGAGTCCAGATGGTTTAATTTTACCCCGTAAGCCTTATAATCCGTGCCTCATATCTAATAATCACAAAGACCTTCGCAAAGAACTATTATTTAACCAAAAAATGTAAATTATTTATATTAATTATATTTATAAATTATTATTAATATTATTATTTATACATCTATTACTTGTTTTAGTGGTAAAAGTGTTTTGAATCAGAAAAGTGAACTTCAGAGAGCTTTAGAAAAACGTGAAGCCGTATTAAGACGAGAGACTGTTAAAAAATGTGAAGAAAATTATAAAGACGATCCAAGAACGGCATTACAAAGAGCACTTGAACAAAGAGCGCGACAAATTGAGCTTATGGTAAATAATACAATATTTTTTTTTAATATAAATTAATAAATTACAAACTATAAGTTAATTAATATTTTTTTTTTTTAATTTTCAGGAACATCCTCCTGCAGCTGAACCACCAAATCCGTTAGTAACTGCGAGAGCAAAATTACGGACACGCACGGATTCACAGTGATGAGTAGTGATGTGATGAGAAAGGAATAATAAAGGCCAATTGTCGATTTGATTGAATCGTTACACTCTCTCCTAAGGTAGAGAGAGAACTATCGAACAAATCGACGATTTATAACGCGTTAATGTGGTTATTACAATTTGAATAAGTATATTAACTTAATTGAAAATAACATTTTTCTACACGCAACATTTTAAAATGTATATAATATAATATATGACAGTAGAAATAAGTACTAAGACCAAGATGGTACTCTACTAAATTTTCAACTAAAAAAAATGAAGATATCTTTTTTGATATAAAAAAAAATAATAAAGATTTATTACTATATTCTTAGTAACAATTATATCGTATGCAGATTTAGCTTTTAACAAAGTTTTTTTTTTTTTTTTTTTTCATTTTAAAATAAACTAATTCATTTAACAAAAATTATTTTTTGTATTTTAAACGCATGGGACCACTTTACAGTGTGTGGTGCTGTATACTTACTAAAAGCTCAACAATTTTAATTTTGTTAAAATTGATTCATTTTATTTAAAAAAAATAATCTGAATGATTATTATTTTGTATTATATATTTAAATTAATCTCAAATAAGAAATTAATAATTTCATTGTAATTAAATAGAATTATGTTATTTTACTTATTTTTAAGATTAAGTTTAAAAAGTGAATTAATAATTAAGAATAACAAAAAAAAAAAAATATATAAAAAGAAATAATATACTTTAGCAAGTACTATTAATCTCATTTTTTATCGTTATGTCGATAAACAAAATATTTTTATGTATAAGAAAATGATGTTAGTAAAAATTACACATTTTTTTTTTTCAGAATTTTTATATTCTAGTATTATTTAAACGGATAATTAATTAATTACCAGACAAAGAAAATAAAAAAAAAAAATACATTTCAAAAGCAAAAAAAATATCTTATATGTATAAAACAAAACCACTGAATTAATATCTGCGAAAATGAAAGATTGTAAATACAGATTATGTTTGCAGTATTTGACAATCCAAAAAATGTTTAATACGTAAAAAATACGTGTTGAAAAATAAATATTAATCAGTAGCATTATTATGATAATTATTTTTCGTTACAGTGTATTTTAGAGTTTAAAAAATAACCCATACAGTGTATAATATAATTAGTAGTCATCACCACGTGAAATAACTTCTTTACAAGTAGGACGCAATACCAGAGTATGTTCAAACTGAGCAGTATAGCAACCTTTTATATCAACCAACGGGGGATAAGCTTCAACAGCACCTTTATCGCAAAGATCCTTTAATGCCATTTGATATTTAGTGCATCCCACACGATCCAGCCAACGTTTACAAAATGCCAAAGTACCTAGACAATAACAAATATTAATATTAAAAATTTTTTTTCCAAAAAAGATTAATGATTTTTTTTTTTGTATGAAACTTACTGAAATTCTTGTTAATAGTATTTAACAATGATTTACTACTTTGTAATCTCAGTGGTACAAAGCCAGCTTCAAAGCTCTTCATGTAATGAGAACAATCAGCATCATCATGTACCACACCTCTGCCAGTAGATCCAAACGTTTCAATAGCATAAAATTCATTTTCTTCCATCCTTGTAGCCTCACCACCACGTACAATAGGAACAGTTTTACCAGCATGAATACGATAAGGCGCAATAGAATGACCATTTAAATTTCTTATTGATTTAACTTGATAAGTTTTACCATCAATTTCAACCTCATATGACTCCATAACTTCTTGAATTGCAGCACCTACTTCGCACAACTGTACATCAATACCAGCAGCTTTTATCCCAGTATTAGTTGCATCTCGCACTGCTTCAATAAGTTTATCATACTTTGGATTAAATGATAGAGTAAAAGCACAATCAATTATTCTGCCATTGATGTGAGTACCAAAATCAATTTTAGTTACGTCATCATATTCAAGAACGGTTTCATCACCAGCATTTGGAGTATAATGAGCAGCGCAATGATTTCGTGAGCAACCTGTTGGAAATGCTAAACCGGCCTTTAATCCATTTTCACCAATTAATTTTCTCGCAGTATTTTCAAGCTCATTACAAATTTCAATCATAGTCATGCCTGGTTTTACCCATTTCATAATGTGTTTACGTGTTTGTCGATGAGCCTCAGCAGCTTGTCGTGCTTCATTATATATATCATTGTGCATTCTATCAAGTGCACGTGCCTCTTCAGTGGTAAATCTGAATAATGCTGTTTTTTCATCAACTCCTGATGGTACTGGATGATCCATTATCTGTCCAATTGGAAAATTACCGTCTGGATATAAATCTCCAATTGGTATACTCGGTGGATCTGTCTGTTGTTTACCACCACCTTGTTTTCCTCTTGGCTTACGTTTCTTCTTTTTTTTCTTTCCATCCTCTGTAGTATCTCCTTGATTTTCAGCATTTACTGCACCTAAATAATAATCATTATCATTATTGATAATAAAATATTTTTTTCAAATAGTTTATTACAACAATAGAATTATTAATTTTACCATCAACATTTTCATTATCATCTTCTTTTTTATCATCGGTGCCATCTACTACAGCATTTTCTCCAGCTAATAAAATAATAGAAGAAAAAAATAAATATATTTAACAAATAAAGTAACCTAAAAATAAGAGCTCCTTTTGATAATTAAAATATATCCTTTAATTATTTTATTAGGTTTAATTAGAGATCAACACATTGTATTGTATTATTTTTTATAATTATCAAGTTGTAAATTTAATTAACTGATTATTTAATTATATTTTGGTACTAAAGTACCGGAAAACAAGCATGCTAGAAAAAAATATTACTTAATAAAAATTAAAAAAAAATACTTACCAGGCTTTTTCTTCTTTTTCTTTTTCTTCTTCTTTTTAGTAGCGTCAATGGGGCTGCTTTCATCTTCATCATCAACAATATCGTCAGGATCTTCGTCCACTAATTTAATAGCGGATTTGCCGACTTCTTCGAGCACTGCAGCCATTTTTTATAATAAATATAAATATATAACCTTGTTCTCTTATATAGGAATTTGTATAGGTAAGTAAGTTACTTATTCACCAGACGCCATTATTACTACACTACCGCCAACTATTTACTATACTATACTAAATGTATTGCGCGTTCTTTATTCGCTGATGCTGTTGATTGATGTTGAAAAGAGACATGAAAATAATTCTTGTTCCTCTTGTATGTAATTTAGATGTGTATAAAAAATTAAAAAAAAAGTAATTTATACTTTTTTTTTTTTTGCTAAAATACGAATATTTACATATGCATAGTATGATACTAAAATCAGCTGATACTTGTTAATTATTTATTTTTTTCAAATGAAATTTTTAAAAAATTATTTTGTTATAATTTTGTTGATAAAAAAAATTCTAAAAATTTTTAAATGTCTGCTAACTTTTTTATCATAAAATTGTAATAATGTTTTATATATTTTTTTTTTTTTTTTTCATTAATTCAAACCAATGATTCAATACATTTTTTTTTTTTTATTGATATATTTATTAGTACTCATAAGTATATAATATATATTTTATTATAATAAATTGTCAATAATACGAATAATAAAAATAGGAAATGAAGTAAAATCAGAATAATAATAATATTGATTACTAATTAATCAATATTTTCTGTACAATAATAATCACCTATTTTTGTTATTGTAATTATTATTAATCACTTATCATATAAATTGATTCGTAATGTGTTGTATATAATAATGGATGGTAAAAGAAAAATTTAACCAACAGATGCAAGAACAAGTGCCGCGACATCAGGATCTTGAGAACGTACGGACAATTGCATTGTAACTTGTGATTCAGCAAGAGCTAATCTAGCGCGTGAAAATATTTCCTTTCCACCACGGAAATAACCGTGGAGGAATAATACATGAGATGTAGCTCCTGGAGAAACTTTATCGGTTCGGTCTGCGGGTTCAAGAGCCAAGAAACCAATGAGACTTTGTACGGCTGATTCTAAAGTGGTAACATTGGCTCCTAGAGCAAATGTATCTTCCATACAAGTAAATCCACGTGTTGGAGCTGCTTCCCAGGCAGCATTTATGTCTATTCCTCTTGTTCCTGATCCGCGCATTTGGTCAGACAGTGTAACTTCTAGATCTTCAAGCTGTAAAAATAAATATTTACATAAATAATAATAATAATAATAATAATAATTTGAGTACCCACATGCTATTTTTCTATATATTTATATATATTATATATATGT